ATCTTTTGAGATAGGGTCTCACTATGTAGTTGAGACTGATCTGGACCTCACTATGTAGCCCAGGCTGGTCTTGAACTCACAGTGATCCTCCTGCCTCAGCCTCCTGAGTGCTGGGATTGCAGGTGTGCGCCACCATGCCCGGCAATACACTTTTTAAAAGAATTACATGTTTAAAAATTGCATGTTTAAGACTTACCTATTTAAAAAGTACTCGGGGAAAATGTGTTGCTGTCAGAGGTGGTGCGGCTCAGCTCTTAACTTTTTGAAAGGAAATGCGCTGTAAACATAGCCAAGACACTGCCTCGAAGGAAAGAAGATAGTCACTATGCATATTTTCATTTTATTGTGTGATGGGTAGGTAGTTTCTTTTCAGGAACCTTTGGAAAGGAATGAAATTTTTATGAAGTCTTGCTATAAATTTCTTCAGTTGTGATGATTTTGTTTGTTTTACTTAAGATGCTTCAAATCTAGAAAGATGGACTTGGCTACAAACAAGTCTTGAGTGAGTTAGGCTGCCTCTGTCCAGGCAGTTCTTACTTAAACTACCATGGGAAATAGCTTAGGGGAATATTCACTTGCCTAGAATACTTTTTTATAGCTTCCTTGAAAATCCACCCCTTAAAGAACTGCTAAGCTTTTGCTAATGAGAATTATGTAATATGCCTTTATTCTTTTTCTTGTCTTGCTATGGTACTCAGAGCCAAAAGTGTTTTTCAGGATTTAATTTATGTCTTCCCTCCTCCAGACTCTTGGTTAGTTTTTGAGCTTTACCCATTCATTTCACTGCAGTTGTTCATTGTCATTTAGTCAAATCCTCCGCAGAACACATAGTGTATAATTAAATAAAAATATTATAGATTATGCTGAATCTGGCCATGTTCTTTGAGGTATGCTTGATAGAATTAGTGACATTTAACCTGTTGATCTGGGAACATGGGACAGTAGGAGTCTTTAGATATTTGGAGTACTGATGTTGTGGAAAGAACTGGTAAATGTCACACAAAGACTCAGAAGTGGGTAGAATAAAAAATTGTTTACTTTCTAGCAAAGGGTCGGACTGCACCAAAGGTTGCACCAAATGACCAACCCTGGGCTGGGTGACAATCTGTCTTTAATAGGAGTCTTACAACCATGACCTCATTTTAGGTGATAAGACATTCTAGTTCCCACTGTTCCCATCACAGATCATGGTCCCAAGACAGTTCACTGTTAACCCAGATGTAGTATTCTCTTTCAGGATGTTTATCTTCAGCTAGTCCAGCCCACAAGAGGTGGGGTCAGGGTTAGGAAAGCAGGACCGATGACATTCCTTTCATCCTAACTCTTTTATTTATTTGTTTGTTTGTTTGTTTGTTTGTGGTACTGGGGATCGAACTCTGGTCCTTGTGCTTTCAAGGCAGGTGGTGGAACCACTGAGCTAAATCCCTTTTAACTCTTTTATAGTCATATGGTTCACAGAAAATTTTAAGACTTAGGGACTGTTATCTTAGCTTGAACATCTGGTCTCATCCTGGGATGCAGCTAAGCGCCTCTGGCGTCTGTTAATTTTAAACTGGGGCTACGTGTCTTTAAGTTTTAATGGTGAAACTTCGGATATTTTGTTAAGCAAAGCAAATTACAGAAGCAAAAGACAGTGGTTATTCTATATTTTCTTTAACATTTTGTAGGTTGCAGACTATTTACAGAAGCTCTATCACTGACACATGGGAATATGATTAGACATATTATGAATAGTTTGCAGAGGTCATAACAAGCAGGATAACAAATTTTTATTCGGAGACAAAAGTATATGGTGTAATAGAATGACCAGGAATTTAGGAATCAGTTCAAGTTGGGTTTCAACCCTAACACACTTTCTAATAGTGTGAATTTGGGTGACTATTTAGTATTTAATGTTACTTATCTGTAAATTGGGGAAATTATACACACATGTAGGCAAAATACTTATCTGAAAGACTACAAGGATTTAATGAGCTGGTGTACGTATAAGTGCCTAATACAGCGTGTGACATACAGCTTCTCAAAAATCTATGTATTTAGGGCCGGGGATTTAGCTCAGTGGTTCCACCACCTACCTCACAAGCACAAAGACCCAAGTTCAATCCCTGGTACCAAAAAAAAAAAACAAAACCAACTATATATTTTATACAAAAATAAGTCATTTGTTCATTTTATAAAACTATCACATAAATGCATTAGACTTTTTCTCTAATATGACCAGTTTCCCCAATTTTGAAAGTAATATCATGACTAGAAAAATGGCCAGGAGGACATTTTACTAGTGGGGTTTATATAAATTATGGATGAGGTATTTTTTATGTGCTGTGCCCAGTCCCTTAGCCAAGACCCTTACCCAAGACACGACACGGTGATAAAGTTCAAACAAGAACTTTATTTTGCCAGTCGGGACCCACCCTCCAGTGGAGCTGGCCATGGAGTCAGGTCCCAAGCTGAAACTGAGTACATTTTTTATAGGAAGAACCCCCCCCCCAAAAAAAAATCCATTACCCTATCCTCCCCCTCCCCTTTACCTCAGGGTAAACTGCCTTATCTAACCCTAAAGCACATTTACAGAAGTGAAAAGGAATGCGCAGTTAATACACCTGGGACATCTGCTACAATTAGTTAAAGGCATCTCCTATTATCTTAACCAGAATAGCACAAAATGTTTTAGCTAGGGAGTGGGTTTTTTCACAGGAAAATTCTCAAGTTCAGCTAGGGATCACATAATCCACATGGCAGGTGAGCCTCATAAACCCTTCCTGCTATGTCAGTTTTATAGTGGCCATAAGCATACTTCGTGGCCTCTAAAGGGCAGTAGGTAGGTTTTTCCCAGAAGAACAATCTTAAGGTCACACAGAGGACAAGCTAAGCCGCCAAAGGGTGGGTTTTAAACAAAATGGAGTCTCTTATGTCAACCTGGGTTTCTCATATCTATATAAACAAAGTATTGCCTCATAGGAATAAATGAGAATATAGTACTTTACATATTTAAGTACCTACAGTAATATTCTACCCCCCTACTCCATCCAGATGTCCTTAGCCTTCACGTAGCACTCTCTGGTCAGGAGAGAGAGTTTTTTTTCCATACTCTACAATCATAGCAACTTCATAAGTACCTTTATTTATCTTGTTCTTTAAACTGAAAGACTCATTTTTATTTGAAATAACACAAAAGAGTTCTTTTTTCTAATTACAGGTAACTCTGTCTGAATTTTCCAGCTGCAGAATGTATAGTACCTTAAAAGGTAAATTAAATTGAAGTAAGTCATTTACATGTGCCGGTTGTCAAAAGACTTGGTGACATGTAATTATCTGAATACCAATAAGTAACTCATGAATTACAGTCAGTGGTTCTTTTTGTCAGAAGAAAAGGCAAAAACACAGTTTATAAGAGTAGAGAGGGGAAAAAAAGTAAATTTTGAAGCCAAATGTTATTTAGCCAGAGGTGGTCAGGCTTTAGCTTGCCAAACTCAGAAATTTTTTCAGTGAGGAAATAGCTATAATGTACTGGAAAGATTTGTACTTAATGTGTTGTTACCAAGACATCCAGAAAGGCAGAGTCAGAACCCCAGTGTAGGGTGGTCCTTAAGTGCTGTTTGATGCAGTTTGGTCACCATACCACAGACTCCCCATGAACTGCACCTTTCTCGTGGACCAATATAAAATCCACCAAACCTTTGCTCTTTGACCATTCCTTTTCTAAACTCTCATGTATTAGCCACTTGTTTCTGTTAATGTGGTTGTTAAATGGAGAGCTTAGAGTTGTCTTTATAAGCAGAATGTTTTCCTGAGCTTATACACTGGTTACTGTGATAGGGTTTAGCTCTGCAAGTTATAGACGTCTCTTCTTAACCTATTGTTCAGATAAATTATTAAGTTACCAACCGTCAAAAACGTAATGGTACAATAATGTTAATATATCTTTCCTGCTTTTTTTTTTCTTTTGAGAATGAGGTCTCCCAATGTTGCCCAGGCTGGTATTGAACTCCTGGGCTCAAGTGATCCTCGCACTTCAGCCTCCCAGGTAGCCGAATGCCGCCATGCCCTGCTCCCTACTTTAAACGACTAAAATGCTAAGCGAGTGTGTATATTTATTTTGTGAATGTTAAGTTTACATGGCATTAGTGCAAATTCTCTGTCCTGATGGTTTATTGCTTTTGTTTAGGTTGTCCATGATGAATAAACTCAAATTAAAGGAAGACAAGATGCTGGAGGTTCAATTTGTGGGAGATGATGATGTTCTTAATCATATTCTTGATAGAGAAGGAGGTACTGAGTGATTGCATTGAAGAGATGCTTATAGATCATTTCATTTCAAAAAATATTTAAACATTTATATTGAAAATACAGCATAAAGTACATGATCTAATAAGACTTAATTGATTTTTTCATTTACTTATTTCAAACTTTTGGGGAGGGGGCAGGACTGAATTAGGGATTGATCCCAAATCCCCAGTCCTTTTTAAACTATTTTAAATTTTAAGACAGGGTCTCCCTGAGTCACTAAGTTGCCCAGGCTGGGATTGGCAGTCCTCCTGCCTCAGCCTTCCAGGGGGCTGGGATTACAAGTGTGTACCACCACTCCTGACATGGACTTATTTTTTTTCCAGTACCAGGGATCGAACTCAGGACCTTGTGCTTATGAGGCAGGGAAGGCACCACTGAACTGAATCCCTGGCTCGCTCCTTCCTTCCTTCCTTCCTTCCTTCCTTCCTTTCTTTCTTTCTTTCTTTGTTTTTTATAGCAAAACATTTATTGGTACATTATTGATATACATGATGATAACCTTCACCCTAAGAAATGTACACCTATACATGATAACCTCCCATCTCTTTCCCATCGCCCTTCCCTTCAAGCCCCCTTCCTTTTCCTATCTACAAAGTTTTTTCCATCTTTTCCTTCTATTTTCACTTTTTTCTTGTCCCTTCCTTTCTCCCTCCCCCCTTCCTTGTTACCCTCCCCATCTGAACATTCTTTTCTAATTTCCTAAGACTTCTTTAAAACTTTAGTTGAAAATTAAAACATAGCCTATTTAAAAGAAAATCTCAATTTTACTAGTAAACATTGACTACCCACTGTAATTTAAAATATGTGATTACTCCAGGGATTTAGCTCCGTGGTGCCACACCTGCCTCAGAAGTGCAAGGTCCTGGGCCGGGATTTAGCTCAATGGTTCTACTGCCTGCCTCTCAAGCACAAGGACCCGATTTCGATCCCCAGTGCTGGGGGGAAAAAAGAAAAAGAAACATCTTGAAGTTTTTTGGTTTTTAAGCCAAGGCTACAGTATATAAACTTATTGTCAGTACTTCCTTGTTTTGGTACCAGGGATGGAAATCCGGACCTTGCACTTGAGAGTTGAGAGTCACACTCGGTGCCCCTGAGCTAAATCCCCAGCCCTGCTCTCAAAATCTTGATCCTTTTGCTTTTTCCTGTCCCCCAAGTGCTGAGATTCCTAGGTCTGTGCCACCACACTCAGCTGGTCAAGACTATTAAAACACTTCTCAGCTTCTGTGTAATGACCATTTAAGTTGTACGACAAGTTCATTTACTTAAATTTAATATTTAGATTTGCAAGTGCAAGGTTGTGAGTTTGATCCCCAGTAGGGAGGGGAGTTAATACTCAGGAAAGATGCATGCTTGCCATGTTCTAATTCCTTTGATGTTCTTCTAGGCACTAAATTAAAGAAGGAGCGAGCTCAGCTTTTGGTCAATCCACAAAAAATAATAAAGAAGCAGGAATATGATGTGGATGAAGGTGACCAGGAGGTGTTAAAGGATCAGAACTACGTGGAGGTTTTGGGAAGAAACGTTCAAGGTATTTGATGAGGAGTGCATTAATATTTCTGCTAGTAGCAGAAATTGCTTTGTAGGATATCTAAAAGTAGCCTGGTAGGTCAAACAATGGTGTGCTTTAATTATATATCTCATTTGAAAAGTATTTTCTTGAAGTTTTTTCACTGCAGTTCTTTTTTGTTAACAAATAGCCAGTCCTTCCCTTGATTACTTTCAGAAAGAAAAAATCTACAAATGAACCACTCTATTCTTTTTGGTTTTTTAAGACAGAGTCTCACTATATAGTTGAGACTGACCTGAAATTTCCAGTGTAGCCCACCCAGGCTGGTTTCGAACTCACAGCGATCCTCCTGCTTCAGCCTCCCGAGTGCTGGGATTACAGGTGTGTTCCACCATGCCTGGCTGAACCACTGTATTTTTGAGGACTGGGACTATAGTTTAGTGACAGAGCCCTTGCCTTATAGGCATTTGGCCCTTGGTTCAATCCCCAGTACCAAAAAATAAAGAAATATATTTATTCTATTTTTTTAAATAGTGGCAAAATTTCACATATATTACAAGCTCTACAGAGCCTTTCTCTTGGGGTTGGGAAGAAATGTCCTTCCTCTTGCCTTTCTTTTGTTTTGTTTTGTTTTGTTTTTTTGAGACAGGGTCTCACTACATAGTTGAAACTGACCTGGAACTCACTTTGTAGCCCAGGTTGGTCTCAAACTCAGCCTCCTGAGTGCTGGGACTACAGGCATGTGCGCCACCGTGTCTGCCACCACGTCCGCTTTGCCTTTCTTGATAGGATGTCACTGTGGATTTGAGACTGCCTTGACTAAGGTCCTTCCTCCTCATACCCCCAAATGCTGGGGTTCCAGCCACATGTGACCATGCCCAGCTATAAATACTTTCACAAAACAAGTCACTTCAAGGGGCCAGGGATTTAGCTCAGTGGCGCTATGTCTGCCTTGCAAGCACAAGGTCCTGAATTCAATCCCCAGTACTGGGGAAAAAAAACAGGTTACTTCATTGTTACCTTGATCTTCTTTGTAGAAATAGAAGGAACATTCCAGAAAGTAGTGTTGTTCCAGCCTAGGCATGCTTATAGTGTGCTAAAACAAAGCCCTCTGCCTGACAACACTTAAAACATATTTTAGGCTTGGATTATATTTTAGATCTACTTAAGCCTAAAATATAAATATCTGGAAGAGAAAAGAGTATTGTTGGTCACTGAGTGCTGGAAATAGTTCAGCATTAACAACTGAGGGCCTCTGGCCTCACAGAACTCCAGCTCCCTGAGTGATCTCTATGCATCCATTCTTTCTGTGCCTCTGGTCTCCTCATATATGTGTTTTTACTCATGCTTACCTTGTGAATGACCTTCGCAACCCCTCTGGACCTTCCTTTCTTCTTTTTGCGGGGGTAGTTCCAGGGCCTTGTGCTTGCCAGGCAGGTGCTGCTCTGCTGAGCTGTATCCCTGGCCCTCTTTCTTTTTTTTTGAGATGGGGTTCTTACTGTGAAGCCCACACTGGCCTGGAACTCAGGGTAATCTTGCTTCAGCTTCTTCAAGTACTGGGGTTACAGGCGTGTGCCACCATATCCAACTTTCCTCGCTTCCTAAATCATAATCCTGCTTCTGATTTAGTTCCCACATTCTAGGTTCTCAACAGTAGATTTAGATTTAGTTCAGCTCAGTAAACCAGGCCCCCTGGTTAGGCCTATCTGGAAAGTAGTTGAGTGTCCTCATGTCCCTAACTACACAGTTGACATATTTTGAATAGAACTTTGAGTTCTTGGCTGCTTATTATGCTAGCCCTGAGAATTATCTTAAAAACAGTATTCCAGGGCTGCAGATTTAGCTCAGTGGTTCATGGGTTTGATTCCCAGTACCAACAAACAGTATTCCAAGCCAGGAGTGGTAGCACATGCCTGTGATCCAAGTAGTTGGTAGGCTGAGGCAGGAGGATTGCTGAGAGTTTGAGGCTAACGTAGGCTACACAGCGAGAACCTGTCTCCCAAAAAAACAAATAAACAAGCAAACAAACAATATTCGAAAAGAGAAACTTCTAATTTTGCTTTTTAGTGTTGGGGCTCAAGCACAGGTGCATGCTAAGCACACTCTCTCTCACTAAGCTATATCCCTGGCCATTTGTTTTCTTAAAGATGGTTTCTGATTAGAAAGGTGGCATATTGAATGCAGGACCCAAAAAGAGGTCACTCTTTGGAGGCTCCTGGGATGAGGCTGAGGGTGATGTATCCAGTTCCAGGACAGTTCCTTGGGACCTGTCTCTATTTTTTAAAGGGCTGGAGATGGAGCTCAGTGATATAATGCTTGCCTGGCATGAATGAGGCCCTAGGTTCAATCCCCAGAACTGTGGAAAATAAAAGTATAGAGTTTAAGAATGATTTGGTGAACCTTTATGCAGTGTGGTGAAAAGTCTGACTTTCGTCTTCAGTTAAAATTTTTGCTTGTTTTTTTTCTTGTTAGTTAACTTTGCCCTTTTTCCTAAATATGTATTACATTTTCTCTTTCAGAATCTTTGAAAAATGGCTCTGCTACAGATGGTGGGAATAAAGTCTATTCTTTTCAGAATAGAAAATGCCCTGAAAAGATGGCTGAATTAGGTATGTTGCTTTTCAGATTTCTATAATCATTATTTTTTTTTCTTCTGGTCCTGGGGATCGAACTCAGGACCTTGAATTTGCCAGTCAGGCACTGGCATCACTGAGCTAAATCCCTGGCCCTATTCTATAATCATTAGTTGCCCTTTCTAAAATGTAGTGAGCCACATTGCCCACAGTTGTCATCCCGTTACACTCCCTGAAAGAATGACATTGTTTTATAACATATTAACATGCCTGCAGTGGGTCCATGACTTGTATGTCTCGCAGCCAGTGCTCTGCAGCACCAGTGGGACATGTTTGACCATCCCATTGCACAGCATGGGACAAACCATCAGGAAGGTGCTAAATACGCTGCTGACCCTTAGTCATTGTTCACACGCTCTGTTCAGAAGTAGAGCTCATGCTTCCACGGTAGGAAGTCAGTCTTGTTCATTTGTTCTCCCTACAGTATGTGGCTTAGGTTCTTTAACAAACTTTGTGAAATGAATGACTTCGGAGTCACACTTGGATATTTTGAGTTCATTAAATAAGACCTTTATACTATGTATAGAATAAAGTTATTTGTATTATAGGGAAACATTTACATAAATGTATATCAGTAGTATTTGAAGGTCTACATGATGACGCTGTTGTTCCTTGAAAGTGATTTATCACAAGGTCCTGAGTTCGATCCCCAGTTTTGCAAAAAAAAAGGAAAGTGATTCATCAATCATTTGTTGGCCTCCTACTGTAGAAAAATGAGGACATCACAATGATTAAGACACAGATTGGTGAAGAGTATACCTCTGGATAGAAATAAAAAGCAACGATAAATTGTTCTTTTATAATTCTGTAGTAATGATAGAAATCACTCTTGAGCAGTTATAGGTTGGGCTCTGCTCTGTGCAGTTGGAGAGAGAGATTAAATCTGTCTATCTTATAGTATATAGTAGGGTTACACATCTGACATCAATTTATATAAGCACTGAGCACGGTTCTTATCATATAGATATCTGTGTATCTATAATAGCCTATAATTTGTATAAAAATGACAGAGCAGAACCAGGTGTAGATTTCATGCCCGTTTATCTTCAAAGCTTATACCCTTCACTGTTGCTACCCAGCCTTCATAGAATTATGGATGCACCACAGTGGCTGCTCACAGTAGAAAGGCATCTTTTGGGGAAAATCAAGGAATTCTGTAGAGCTGATAGTGCTAGTGTTTGAAGGCTAGATGGAGATTTGTTAGGAAGACAGGGAGAATGGGATATTCAGGAGGAAGTTTGTGACCCTTGCAGACATCTTCAGTGTCCTGAGGCATGGTTGGAACGCAGATTACAGTGGACTCCAGTAAAGAAGTTTTAGGGGCTAGATATGTCCAGCAATGGAGTACACATCTCCATCCGTGGGTAGAAGGCATGGGTGGTTGTAAGGTCAGCCGGTCCCTGGTCCAACTGGTGTCAGAGCCCACGCTGGCCATGTGAGGTAAGGGAGAGCAGTGGGAGAGCAGGGTGGGGCAGGCAAGGAGATATGCGGAACTGTCTGTGGTCAGGAGTGACTGCTGAGGAAGCTGGGCTCCAGGGTGACCCTGGGCTCCTGGACTCCATGTCTCACAGAAGCCAGCTGTTTACCTGCTGCTCAGAAAGAGTGATCTGTTCAACACCATGTTATGTTTCCTACATTAGTCATGTATTGTAGAGTTTTAGACTCAAAGAACATCACACATGGGTGATTAAAGAGACTTTAAAATATAACATATACATATTTAGCATTACAGCCTACTTTCTGGCCCTGGTACCCCTAGTAAAGATGACCTTCAGTATACACATTTAAAAATGTAGAAAAGGGGCTGAGGATTTAGCTCAGTGGTTCCACAGCCTGCCTCTAAAGCACATGGTCCCGAGTTTGATCCTGGTAACCCCCCACAAAAAATGGAAAGACTATTAATTGTTGATGGAGAAAAGAAAAAGGTATTAATTACAACAAGCAGCAAGGTCAAAATTAATTCTTTGTGTTTTGTTTTTTAAGAAATTTGTGCATAACTGGAAAATGTGCGGTACTGGGAAGAATTTAGGAAAAGTAGTACTTATTTATTTATTTTTGGTACCAGGGATCAAACTTAGGTCCTTGGACTTGTAAGACAGGCGCCGGCACCACTGAGCTAAATCCCCCGCCCAGTAATACTATTAATGTAGATGGGTTTACTTATCTTTGTGATAAAAGCAGAAATAAGGGTGTTGTGGTTGTTGTTGTTTAAAGAATTTATGTGTTATTGGGCTGGAGATTGGGGATTTAGCTTAGTGGATCTGCTGCCCACCTTGCAAGAACAAGATTCCAAGTTCAATCCCCTGTACAAAAAAAATATGTGTGTGTGTGTGTGTGTGTGTGTGTGTGTGTGTGTGTTATCAAAGAGGATATCAGAAAATGTAAAGATACCCCTGTTCTAGAGAGAGAGCCACCAATGTCAAAATGGCCTTACTTCCCAAACTGATTTAATGTAATCCCAATTCAAATACCAACAGCATTTCTCACAAAACTTAAAAAAAAAATCCTAAAATTCATATGGAACCAAAAGAGACCCAGAATAGCAAAACAGTCTTGCACAACAAGGGCAAAGCAGAAGGTATCACAGTCCCAGATTTGAAGTTGTATTGCAGAGTTTCAGTGATTAAAAACAGTGTGGTACTGGCTGTGAACAGTGGAGTAGAAGAGAGAATGTAGACAAAACTCCAGGCACGTTCAGCTATTTGATCTTTGACAAAGGGGCCAAAAACATATTACAGAAAAGATAGCTTTTTAAATAAACAGTACTGGACAAATTGGACATCTCTATGCAGACTGAATATAGACCCATATCTCTTACCATGTACTAAACTAAAATCATAATGGATCAAAGATCTAAATGTTAAAACAGAAACACAATCTGCTGGAAGATAAAATAGGCAGAACTTGAAGACACGAGAGTAGGCAAGGACTTTCTGAACAGAACCCTAATGGCACAAGAAATAATACTGAGAATCAACAAATAGAATGTTATACCAAAAACCTGCACAGCAAAAGAGTGAAGAGACAACCTTCAGAAATGCTGTTTCCCTATTTATCTGCTGTTGTTCACTATAAAAGTTCTTTTATGTATTTCTTTTTGGATTACAGCTTCTGAACTAGCAAAAACACCAAGAAAAACTGTTTCATTCAGGTTGAGAAATGATCCTGGAATTATAAGCATTCCTCAGAGTAGCAAGGGTAAGTCTTTACCTCAGTTCTTTGAAAAATATTTCCATAGTTGCTTCAAGTTAGAGTATGTTTTCTTTTTTCCTTATCTGATTAAATATTCATGTATTTGCTTCATTTCTGTTGTGAAAACTAAACAAAATGCAGTTAGTACTCCAGCCTGGCTGCCTCAGTATATCCATATTTATCCATCGATGAGAGGGAAAACCTTTGTGCTGAATAAAGTTGTGGGTGCTGACAGGACCGACGCAGAAGTCCTCTTATCTGCTTGAGTTAGCCAGTTGTTCATGCAAAGGTGTTAGAATTGTGGAGAATTTTGGAACAGCCTTTCTTTTTTTTTTTTGGCACCAGGGATCAAACTCAGGACCTTGTGCTTTCAAGGCAAGGTGATAGAACCACTGAATTCCCGGACCCTGGAACAGCCTTTTTTGAATGATCCGTTGCACCCTGGTCAAACAGTGTACTTTTTAATAATTGAAAATGAGAAAAGGCTCTGTTTGTTCTTGTTAGAATGCCACAGAAATGAAGGAAGTAGCTGTCATTATAATGGGACTAATTGTGAAATTAATAGTGGTAATTTAGTCTCTAGGGGAGATGCATTCGAGAACCCAGTAATATGTGGTGGTTTCCATGTAAAGACTACAACTGTGAGGCCGGGCGTGGTGGCGCACGCCTGTAATCCCAGCACTCAGGAGACTGAGGCAGGAGAATCGCTGTGAGTTCGAGACCAGCCTGGGTTACATAGTGAGTTCCAGGTCAGCCTCAACTACATAGTGAGACCCTGTGTCAAACCACCCCCCTCAAAAAAAAAGACTACAGCTGTGCTTTTAACAGGACTCAACCATGAGGCAAGGTGAAATACTCACGGCATGTCATGGCTTTTTGTTTCATTTAGGGCATTCCGCTTCAGACAAGGCTCAGCCAAAGGTAAGCAATTAAGTGCAAACAAAAACCTCAGTGTTAACCAGGCATAACCAGTGTTAACCTGTAATCTCAGTACTGGGGAGGCTGAGGCAGAAGGATCGCTGTGAGTTCAAGACCAGCTTGAACTGTGAGACCCTGTCTCAAAAAAACAAAACAAAACAAAACAAAAAACCCTCCAAAAAAACCCTTAGTGTTTTACATTTGTTTATGGTTATTTGAAAAGTAATGTGGTTTAGGTTGACTCATTATAAGCTAGCTGAAAAGAATTGATGCTTTCTGTGCCCTCTGTGTTTTGGTGGATTGTTTTTTCACTATGCTTTGTCAAGTGGCCCTGCTTGAATCTGGCCAAGCCCAGATGGACATGGAGAGCCCAGGGCGGTGGGTTTGTGGTGGGAAGTGGTCCAGGCCTTGATACCTGTACACGTAGACATAGCTAGGTTGTGGGTTGTGCACAGGCTTAGTGAAGGGGGCCTTTTAGCTAAGAAATGAGTATACAACCTGGCATGGTGGCACATGTCTGTAATCTCAGTACTTCAGAAGCTGAGGCCGGAGTATAACTGAATTTAAGGCCTGCCTGAACTACATAGCAAGACCCTGTCTCAAAAAAAAAGAAAAAAATGGTAAAAAGTGAGTATAGATAAGTTTTATGACCTTTTCAGGAATATCGTGTTAGATCAGTCCAGGCACAGGAGTAGACATATCAGAACCTGCACTGTTGTTAGTAATACTTCTTCCTTCACTATGTTCTGTATGTTACAGCAGTACAAGAGAAAAAAACTTACTACCTTAACCTTCCAGGAATTGAGGTATATTACAGCATTCTCTTTTACTTTGTAGGCCCCATTGGTAGATCTTTGTCAGCTTCCCCAAAAGACTATCAAAAAACTCTTTGATGAGGGGTACTTCTTACAAAAGCAGACACCACCACCAGAGCAGTCTTAGGGCATTGTCTTAGAAAAGGAGTCCACCAGGCGTGGTGATGCACACCTGTAATCCCAGCACTCAGGAGGCTGAAGCAGGAGGACTGCTATGATTTCTAGGCCAGCCTGAGCTACACGGCAAGTCCTTGTCTAAAAACAAAAGATTCCGTTGTGTTTTTCTTAATCACATACACATGTGTCCTGGCTGACAATGGCAAAAGGTACAAAAGAATTTTAAGGAACTTAATCAAGTTTTGCCCATTGGTAAAACAAAATCTGTTTTTTTGTTGTTTTTTTAATTTTTTTTTTTTAATTTGTAATGCTGGAGATTGAACACAGGGCCTACCATGCGCTGGTCAGGCACTCCCACTCAGCTACACCCAGCCTGATAGTTCTTTATATCTCAAATGAAATTCTATTAACATTTATAACTAGCTACAAAACCATCACAACAGCAGATCTGAATTTTTTGTCATATTTTGATGTTGCAGTTCAAAAGGCTGGTATGCCTGTTTTATCTTTACATAGTAATAGCACATACATACTTTAAAAAATTTTTTTTGGTGCTGGGGATTGAATTCAGGACCTTGGACTTGCCAGGCAGGTGCAGTACCACTGAGGTAGAACCCTGGCCCTTACATACTTTTTTTTTTTTTTTGTATAAACATTCTTTTATGATGGGCTAGAACATCTGTTACACTAACAATACAAAAAGAAAACAGATGCAGGGTTGGGGATTTAGCTCTGGTTCCACTGCCTGCCTCGCAAGCGCAAGGTCCTGAGTTCGATCTCCGGTACCAAAAACAACAACAACAAAAGAAAACAGATGCAAATTAGTATTAAGGAACTTCCTTATCTAAAATTACAAAACTAAGTATGGGTATAGACATTTAAATTCTTTTATTTCCATTCTATCCCTTGGCTGAATTTTATTAATATACCATCTGCCCCTCTTTTTTTTTTTTCGTACCGGGGATCAAACTCAGGACCTTGTGCTTGCGAGGCAGGCAGTGGTACCACTGAGCTAAATCCCCAGCCCCTTGCCCTTCTTAATCCTCTTATGAAAGGCATCAGGGCCCTGTCACTCAAGCCAACCTCTTCCACCACCTACTCCTTTACCAGCCCCCCCAGGAACTGTCAACAACACATCTTCTGTATTTCTCTGGAATCAGTCTCTTCGTCATTACAGTTCCCTTTTGCAGTTCCGTTTCTTCCTAAGTGGCATGTGAGATTTTCACTGCTGTGTCACAGTGTCTGTGTCACAGTGTCTTCTTCAGTCGGTGGCGACAGCTCATCTGCTGAATCAGGACGATTGGTCTTGATTTCCTGTCCCAGCCTGTACTGAATGTGACCAGATCAGAGTCAGATTTCTGGAGCATCAGCTCCAGTTTGTCAGCCTCCGCCTCCATGCTGAACAGTTGACCGACATACTTTTTTTTTTTTTTTTCAGCTTTATCGACATACTTTTTAAGTATCTGGAATTCAGTGTCTAAAAACACTGGCAGTCCTTTGGAATGTCTTGTGTCTTTGTCTTTGTCTTTTGTTTCAGCAGATTCATTTGTCATTATCTTTGGGACTAGGTTTATATAGTTGTGAAGTAGTCTATTGAAAGGAAATATTTTTCTTTTTCAGCCCTTATCAGATCGGTCATTAACTTCCACTGTATTGTTTAACTGTTTATCATGCTTTTTATTTTTAAACAGAACAATGGCAAAAATGAATTGCAGTCCTCACCACCTCGTAATTTAAGAAAAAGATTAAAAGGTATGTACTTGTTCTTATATGAAGTTTTTATAAAAAGTAACATCTAAACAAAGTCAGGAATGGCTAAACATACAGGTTCTAGTCTTGGCTGCTTGGTTTTGAACCTTTAGCCTGCACTGCCTGTCTGTGCTTCATTTTTTTTTTTTAAGAAGAGGTTTAGAGAGCCAGTGGTTTGGCTCAGTGGTTCCAGCATCTCCCTCGCAAGCACAGGTTCGATCCCCTGTACCTAAAAAAAAAAAAAAAAAGGTTTATTTTGGCTGTAAAGTAGATATAATGATGGCACCATCCTCAGAGTTGTTTTAAGGATTAATGGAAACCAAGGACATCAAGTGTGTTCAGTGTGATATTTGACCTTAGTGCAAGTTCATTTATTATAAACACTTACTGATGAGGGAAAGGAAAGGTAAGTAAAAGGATTAAGATGCATTACGCACACAAATGTCATGTACTGCAAACAAGAATACTAATAAAAATTTCAAACTCAGGACCTTGCACTTGCGAGACAGGCACAGTGCCACTGAGCTAAATTCCCAGCCCCAAACTTTTCTAAAAATAAGAAAAAAAAAACTTTTTGCTACCCTTTCATGAGAAGATATGTTTATATTCTCAGTACTAGATTCTTTAAGGACAGGGATGTCATCTAGTCTTCTTAATTCCAAAAATTAGTACTATGTCTTTCACATTATAGTCGGGATAATTAACTCAAAACATCTCTCTCCAACAAAATAATATGCTTTTTCATTTGCTTTGAGACATTCTGGAAGTGGTTCTATTGATATGTTAAGCGTTAAAGATTCATAATTGTACTGAATGCTGTTGAATGTCAGATAAGTGGACATGGATCCTACCTGCCCCTGGGAAGTTAAACATGGCTTTTTGTGCTTGCTATTCAGTTTAGGGCAAATAACTCATTGGCCTTTATGTCCAGGAAGAGGCCAGACCCTTTCCCTCTTGAACCGCAGCAGTAGTAGTATTGGCTGCTGTTGTTAAATCCAGTCAGAGAGTTGGGACTTAGCTGTAGCCCTTGCTCTCAAAGGTGTGGCCTTCATGGAAACAATGATGTCCATGATCAGTTCTCTGGAATAGTGAAGGGTAACCTCTGCGAATGAGTGTTTCCTGTCAGGTACACCCCACATCCTGTGCTCTTTTCACAGAGAAGAATAGTTTTTACAGAGATGAGTGACCCTGCTTGGTCATCACCACATGTGTGTGCTGCAGATCAATAAGACGGTGACATCCTGTATTCCTGCTACCCCTTGTGACTTGTGCATACATAGCATCAGGGACAAGCTGAGTCTGCTAAGCTGTGTGTGTGCCTGCACAGTGTGTGTACTTGTTACGTGCTAACTTAGGGTAATCCTATGAAGTACCTCTGTTCAAAATAAATAGTGATTTGGTTAAAGTTATTCCACTAATATTTTGGGGGTTAACTTTTTTTTTTTTGGTACTGGGGATCAAACTCGGAACCTTGCGCTTGTGAGGCAGGTGGCAGAACCACTGAGCTAAATCCCCAGCCCTGGGGGTTAGCTTTTAAAGAATAGTTCTCGCCAGTCATAGTGGTGCACACCTTTGATCCCAGCACTTGAGAGGCTGAGGCAGTAGGATCACTGTGAGTTTGAGACCAGCCTGCGCTACGCAGTAAGATCCTGTCTCAAAAAAAACAAACAAGAAAATAGGCCTGTACTTACTGAGTATAAAACTAGTTTTGTTTTTATTGATGAGAATAAAACCAGCTTTATTATTTCTGGGCTGGTGGCTTGTTAAAAATACAATTCTTGAGTTAACTGTGGGGTGGAGTGACATATCATTGGGAATTGGTGTAATAGAAGCTGTCACTTAATGAGTGTTTTATCAGGGTGGCATTTTTTGTAGCAGCATTAGAAACCTGTATAGTAGTGTTTAAGCTCCAAACCCTAAAATATGTCACATTGTCAGAAGTGTGGAGGTCCAAGTGTGGAGGTTGGTGTAGAAACTCGCCAGTGTCACTAAGGACCCAGGTTCCTATGCTTTTACTCTGTCAAGCACATTTTTCATCTTCAGCCTAGTACTTTATGCTGGACAGTAGCTTCCAGATGTAGATAGGGGCTTCCTTTCCATGGTTAAAGAAAGTCTTTCCCAGAAGCTTCCAGCAGATTTCCCTCAGGTCTCTAGCCCTAATTGCAAGGGAAAGCAAGGATCTGGAAAGGGGAGAGGACAGTCACCATGATTCATCTCCAGAGTGTAGACATCGCCATGTTTAACAGAAACGGGTGCTGTCAGCAAGGAAGAAGGAGGGAGGTGCGAGGTATGTTTGACAGTTTCTCCCACAGTTCCTTATGCCAGTTACTATTGCCTTCCATATATTCAGAGTCATCTTCACGAGGTTTTATTAAATTAGTACTGTATGCCTCATTGCTAAATGAGGAAACTAGTGCTCAGAGAATTTATGTAACTGGCTGTGGTGAAAACATGAGCAAGTCGTGACAAACCAGAATCCAAAGTGTTACTTGAAGCCCACACTCTTCACTACCCCACAGCGAGTTCTTGTCTAACTGTCAAATGTTTCCAATTGCGTTCCCTCCCATAGTTCCAAGGTCTCATTCTGACAGTGAAAGTGAATATTCGGCTTCCAACTCAGAGGAGGATGAAGGGATTGCACAGGAGTCTGAGGACACAAATCCGTCTTTTCTCAGCCAGAAGATTGAGACTCAGAGTAGAATGTCAGCTCCTATCTGCAGAGGAACACCTTCTAAGAAAATGAGAAGAGATAAAACTGTAAGTGAAGAGACTAATCTCTCTCTCTTTCTTTTTTTTTTTTGGTTTTTTGAGACAGAGACAGGGTCTCACTATGTTGTTCAGACTGCTCTGAAACTCGCTGTGTAGCCCAGGCTGGTCTCGAACTCACAGTGATCCTCCTGCTTCAGCCTCCCTAGTGCTGGGATTACAGGCGTGCACCACCCCACCTGATGAGACTCTAATCTTAAAGAAAAGTTGTAGAATACCTCCAGAGAAGGCTAGCCTATGAGAAGAGGTTGCAGAAGCGGTCAATATGGTTTTTTTTTCCCCCTTTCATTTTTCTGTATTTTTAGCCTTATTTTAGATTCCCACATATTTTGTTTCAGTTTTTGTGCTTTATATTCTCTCCTGCCTGTGTATTTGGGAATCAGTACCACAGTGTGTGTTAAAGGCAACATCTTAATTTAATGGTATAGAAATGAGCTTTTATTTATTTATTTACTTGTTTGTTGGTTTGTTTATTTATTTAGGTACTGGGGATCGAACTCAGATCCCTGTGCCAGCAGAACCACTGAGCTAAATCCCTGGCCCCAAAAATGTTCTTGTTTTGTTTTGTTTTGTTTTGTTTTGTTTTGTTTTTGGTACTGGGGATCAAACTTGGGACCTTGGGCTTGCAACTTAGGCTGTGGAACCACTGAGCTAACCCGTGGCCCAAAATGAGCTTTTAGATGAGTATCGGTTGGTAGCTGGTGTTGAGACTTGTGAGTATATCCCTTTTCCTGTCATGTTTTGTCACTGCTGACATGTTGGAGTGAGTGATTGATAAAGGCTGTGGCTGCTGGTCCACGCTGCATGGTGAAGAGAACACTCCCGATACCCTGGCTGCAGAAAGGGTCAAGTACGGGCCAGGGATTTAGCTCAGTGATGCTGCTGCCTGCCTCACAAGCTCAAGGTCCTGAGTTCAATTCTTGGTACAGGAAAAAAAAAAAAAAAAGGAAGGACCAAGGATCCTGGGGTCTGGGCAAAGGGTTAGTGAGTGAAGCAGTGTTGGCAGCCCATGCAGAAGCACCGTCCTCACACCCAGTCAGACCACAGGAGCCACCTCGCAGGATAATCCTCACCGAGTTTTTGTTTTGCTCCTGAGTACTAAGGGTAGAACCAGGGACACTCTGATGCTGAGCTTCATCCTCAGCCCTTTGTATTTTTTATTTTAAGACAAGGTCTTTTTAGGTTCCCCAGGCTGGCCTCAAACTTGTGATCCTTCTGTCTCCGCCTCTGAGTAGCTGGGACAACAGGACGCACCATCATGCCTTGCTTGCTGTTGGTTGACCTCTCATTTTCACAATGTCTTATCCTTGCTACGTTAGAGGACTTACTAAGGCCACTCAAGGAGAAACTGAGGTCCTGCTATCTGGTGTCATTCCCTTTAGTCTATAAAGGGAAAATTATCCTGAGCATTGTAATTTAGGAATTACTTTTGGGAGCGGACTACTTCAGTTACTTGTGTGGCCCTGAGAATCACTCAGTTTAACTGCTGTAAATATCCTTGGTCCTTAGCCTGTGTTGCTGTTCAAAAAGAAAACGTTGTCAGATACACAGCTTCAGTTTGGTGTGGGGGTGCATGCCAGGGTCCCCTGCTCAGGACGCTGGTTGGGAGGGCCCTGGGAGCCCATCAGCGTGATGCCGTCTGTGTCGGTGGTATAGTGATGAGCATAGCTGCCTTCCACGAGTGTGATGCCAGTTTGGGCAACATAATAAGACCCCATCTCAACAAAACAACATGAGTTCTTTTCATTTCATTTTACTTATTTAGGTACTACTGCAAATTGAACCGAGTGCCTTTGCTCTAAGCAACCTTTTTGGCCCTTTTTTATTTTGAGATGGAGTCTTACTAAGTTATGAGTTGCCTGGGCTGGGCTTGGATTTGTGATCTCCCTGGCTAAGGCTCCTAGAATGCTGGGATTACAGGTATGCACCACTATGCCCAGCAGAAAAAAGTTTTAATCCTATTTATGTCTGGTTTTTTTGTTTGTTTTGTTTTGTTTTTTGGTACTGGGGATGAAACCCAGGTCCTTGTGCTTGCGAGGCAGGCACCAGAACCACTGAGCTAAATCCCTGGCCCTTATATCTGGTTTTGATAGAACATGATCTTACTCTACCTAGAACTGAATTTACTCTCCCTTTCAGTGTGACTTACTGGAAAAATACTTTGAAGCTCACAGCAGTTCCCAAGTCTTGACCTCAGACAGAACCCTGCAGAAGCTGAGGAGAGCTGCCCTGGATCAGGTAGGTCATGGGGAAGGTCGCTTCTAAGCGTCTCGTGGCCGTAAGCACAGTACTCAGAGTGTGAGCAGATTTGTTATCCTGAACAAATGAGACGCAAGGTGATGTGTATGAACGATAAATAACCCTAGAATGGAGTTCTCTTTGCCATAATGAATTATGTAGTTTTTCTCATTACTTTTTCATTTCTTCAGAACTTGTAAGCATCTGAGTTGTGGTTTCTTGATGTCCACATACCATTGAGGTGTGTCCAACCTGTGGCCCACCTTTTATTTTTTTGTCCTCATTTTTAAAAATGTTATAATAAAAATATTTCAAAAGAAGATTTTCTTTTATACATTAACCATATTATATGTTTTATATACCCCAAGACAGTTCCTCTTCACTCAAAAAAAAAAAAAAAAAAAAA